TATATTGTAAGTTTGTTAGAATAATATATTCCATTCTCTTTTCTCTTTTTTATTGCTATCGGGGATACTGATGGATACGTGTTCCCAAATACGGTAATCGATGGATAACGGTAACCGATATACCTCGTCTACGAGAGAATAAATTGGCTGACGATTGATTGAGCACTCGTTACGATTGGTATCCTCGTGCTCATCATACGCAAAACTGGGTTCCGTGAATCCAGCATATCGGCTCTCACCAAGTAAATCGCTTGTGATCGTGTCCGATCGCGATACGTTGACAGTTCATCTGGAACGGTTATGATCACATCGACATTTCTCAAATTTTTTTTGGATCGCAGAATCTTAAGCAAGATATTTTTTTAGGTGGAATTCGTAAAGGGAAAAAATCTTAAAAGTAAATATAAAGAAAAATAGCAAAACCAAAGAAAATAGCAACAGAGTGTGTCGATAAATTTAGATAGAAATATGCGTATATATATATGTATATATATACATATATATTTCTTTTTTATATTTATATCAAAATATTTTTAAAGCAATTCAACTGCATTTTTATTTTATTTATGTTTTCTCAAATTCTTTCTTAAACTCGATAATATATGATGATGCATAAATATATACATTAAAGCGGTGTCTACAATGAGAATTTAAGCCTTAAGCCGTAAGAAATTAACCAATCATATTCGATTATTCTTCTCACATTCAACTGTGATTGATCAATTCCTTACGGCTTAAGGTTTACTACACCTATTGTAGACACCGCTTAATAGATATAAGAAAATCTTTGAAGGATGTCAAAGAGAATAAAATAAAGTCGACAATAAAAATATATATAATATTACAAAATAAATATTAGAGTATGGAATAGGAAGAAATAGAGAGAAAGAAAGAGAGAGAATAAATATTATTCATGAAGGTACTAATAATGATACATTGAAATGTTATGTTTGTATACTTGTATCACGTGTACCATACATAGATAAGTAATGCTTGAAACGCGAAGGCCGTACGTTCCCATTGATAGATCACAGGATCGAATACATCGGTTACATAGCTCGTTAAATCGAACCCTTTGCTCGTCCGGGTACCGTTAGAATTCCGTAGAAGGACGGCTGTCATCCATCTAGAAACGTCTGGGCAATGAAGATTGACGCTTGACGCGCATTAATCAAGGTCGCGCGGTTGCGTTTCCGCGATTCGATTCAACGAACGCGTATTGCAAAATGTTCACGAACGCAGCAACGATGCGTTCGAGATGTTAGAATTGATAGTGTCTGAAACAAGAACGTTTGTATCGCAACATTCGTTGCAAAACGAATGCTACTCAAAGGTGATTTAACTCACACATTTTTTTGGGGAACTTGATAGAATTAATTTTAAAATTAAGAGATATTTCATTCAAGAATCAATATAAAAAAGAAAGAGAGTGTGAGAGAGAGAGAGAGAGAGCGAGAGAGGGAGAGAGAGAGAGAGAGAGAAAGAGAGAGAGAGAGAAAGAGAGAAAGAAAAAAAATGTTAATTAATTTTCAGAGTTGATTGCTTCTCTAATCAATAAAAATGTAACATAAACTTAACAAGTGCTAAGATAATTCAATAAATAAAATAACATTAGCAATTATACGTATATAACATGTATTTTGTTATTATCCTTTTATTTATTGAATTGCCCTCGTAGCTCTGAAATAACAAGTCGTTTAAAAAAATAACGGATTTTTTTACCGGCGTGATTACTAATTTATGTATGCATGTAAGAACGTATATGAATAACGTTTCCGTACGCAAATCACAGGTTCTTGCATATTTCTCGGGTATGACTGTATCATAACGATCTTCAGCTATTTACAAGATGATAAAACGTCCAAAATGCTACTCTTATAGCTTACATTTCGTGTAAACATAAAATTATCTATCTAATAAATTATCGATTTAATAAGATAATTGAATTAATCTTTTAAAATATCTATAAAAGAAATTGACACACTGACTAAAATTACAACTTTTCTTAGAGAAAAACGAATCAAACGTCATAAAATAACAAATTTAACAGAATCTTATAATACAAAAGGAAGAAACGATGAGTGTTTAAATAATATTTACCATTTGCGCAAAAATAGATAATTAATTACGGTCGCGAATTTAAGAATAGTTTATATTGGTCTCAACAGTGTGACTCGAATAGTGTATCGTCTCATCTCGATGCAGAGATTATTTATGTCGCGAACATTTTGGACCAACGGCGACTACTGGCATACACGATTGCGACATCGCAGACTCGGAACTTGTATCATATATACGGATGGCCAATTACGGTTATCCGCCTCCCGCTTTCACCTCCTGGAAGCCTGGAAATGTCAGGGGGTCCGCCGACACCGGTGTTATCGCCCTTTCGTTTTCGTTGCCGTCCTCGCATATAGAAGATTCGCATTCTCTTTCCGAGTTTCGGAATTTAATTTTATGCGTGGAGACTCTTTTTTGATTTGCAAATCTCACGAGCATGCACATGTTTATACTATCTACATGTAACGCACGAGCTGCTATGTATATAATTATCAAAGTCCAGTTACGTTGATAAATTTCAACTATTCTAACGATATTAATTTATATATCCAATGTGCTATAAATGTCTCGATTATTTTGTTATTATTTTACTTCTTTAGACTTCTTCAAATTTTTTTTCTTTAGACTTCTGCACATCTTTTAAAATCGATAATAGCGAAAGAGAGAAAAAGATGTATTTTCTTGTTTTTTAATGTTTTTCATACGTTTTCTATATCATCATTAACAATGTATACATTAGTATGGCTTTAATACGTATTTGTAGCGGTAACAAAATACTTGGAGCGTTGATTTGTAACTTTCGTTCGGTGATAGCTGGTCGCAATTATCATTACTTTATATACTCGATTTACTCGGATTATTCTGATTAGAAAATAACGCGCGTTAAATTTCAATCAGATTTCCATATTGAGTATGTTATCATTCTATCCATTTCTTATAAGGAAACTCTTTCCTCCGTGCGCATGATGTATTTTTATTTCTTTCTTTTTGTTACGATCTTTTAGAAGGTGACAGACTAATATTAGTTTTTAGATCAAGTAATTGCTAATTGCAAATTGGTATCATATGATTTCTCCTTGCTTTCTAAAGTACGCGCTAAAAATAGTACATGCAGAAAAATGCGGACCGTGAAGTCGTCTCAGGATGCGAAGCCACAAGTTAGCGGTAAGTAGAGTGGACAGCGAAACAGCCTGCGAAATCGTATGCGGATATCCCAATTAGCCCGAATAATACGATGAGAGTACTTTTGGCTCCAACTTGAAATTTTGATAAAACTATATCGAGCACAAAATATGTAGACAACGATTTTATCGATAATATATATACTGCCTAATCGATATTATCATATTATATAATATGTTTATGTAACGTTATTGCTTCACGTACGAGAATAATATTCTGAAGATAACTCGATACTATGGGGTCTTTAATCTCCTCACTTTTTATCAAGAACAATGCTTGACGAGCTACGAGAGGCCCGATCGAGCATAAGAGAAAGATCTTGATCATCTTTAGCACAATTATTTCAAATCAAAATCTACGAGAAATTATCTTCTGAGAAAGTAAAAACAATTTACAATAATCGAAAAATATTTTTAAACATATCTTCTCGCCGCGTCATATTAATAATTGCGAATTTTCATCGATCGAATAAAATAAGTTTTGGCGGTTGCGCTGTGATATAACGATCAGACTATCACGAAAAGATTATCACGAGAAGCAGTTTCAGCCATTTTCGAAATTAATTAGATCAAAGCAATATTCATTGAGGAAGGACTTACGTGCCGCTACGATGAGGAAAAACGCGATGATTAGACCGATGGTCGGTGGTCGTCGCATCGGGGACGGTGCGAGTGATCCTGTCGTCATGGTGTCTTGGTGGTTACTGGCGAGAAAAGTATCTGTTGTCGATCCAAGTAACTTTGTTGGTCCCACTACGCGATCACCGGCTCGCCTTGCTTCACCGTTCCCGTTCCTTTCTCTCTGTCTTTTTCTTTAATGGGAAAGACTTTTCAGCTTTTCGCGCCCAGGGTAAAAGTTCCGTCTTGACATCCATCTCGCTCGATCTCCGGATTTAACGAGACACTATTGGTAAATCGTTTACACATATTCAATAAATCATCCTCGAGATAAAAACGCGTTAAATACGCGTGAGAGATTTCATAAAAGAGAGATAAAATGACATATTGTCATATTTTTACTGAGAAGACGGGCGTGAGAATTCGCGTAAGGAGAGAGTGCACGCACACGCTCCAAGTGCGCGCGCGCGCGTTGCGTCCACGAACGTGGTCGTAATTATGTGACAAATTTTACGACATTACGTACAATTACGACGTTGTCATCACGACGACGCGCATATTACCCCATCGCACGGTAGGACGGTTGCCTAGACTCGGTGAATATTTCCCGAGTGAGCGCATCGCGTGTTTGAAGCCGCTTTTAACATTACTCGGCAGAGTAATGTCGTAATGTGTGATTATTTTTACCCCAGGAGTTCGCATTCTACATTTATTTGTGCGCCTTATGCACATTTCGCATCTCGTTAATTAGAATCGGAGCATTACAGATAACAAAAATTAAAGGCGAATCGGATCCTATTCGCGTCCGCGAGTAACCTCGATGATTATAACAAGTTCCAAGCTTGTATATAATAATGCGACTCCGCAACGATGTAACGCGATTACCATCGAGATATTCATTTTGCAATATTGCGCGATGAGACGCAATTTCATCGTTGTAAATGAAGACATTTTCGCAAAAACAATCTCCTATTTTATCTTTTTTTCTATTCTTTCTACAAGCTATTCGATGTTAGTGTATACGTTGGAACAGTTATAGATTGTTATAGATTGTTACAATATATTATATTACAATATATTAATTATTTTTTGTTTTGCAGATTGAATCGTCTTTTATGAGCACATCTTCAAATCTTCCACAAACCAGTAGGACGTGAGTTTGTCGGATTTGACACAGCAAAAAGTTGCTTTCCATTCCTTCATGGGTGGACTGGTATGCAGGCTGGTTGTACTCGTGGCAGAAATAAAGAAGAATCAAGTTTTGATCCAACCTAAAAACCGTCTTGCTCATCATCTTCGTCTCGTTTCGTCTCATTTCTCGTATTGTATTTCATTACGCCGCACTACCAAGAGGAAGAGAAGAGAAAAGATAGGATTAGAATATAGAATAAGCCGATTATATGTACATACGTTTTCTGGGCAAAAATTTTCGGATATACGTAACATTCCGCATAGATCATCAAAAATAATTTCAAAGTTTGCGGTTATCGCTTTTTTAAAACCGGAAATGTTAATGATCTGCAACTGGTGATGGCATATTCGCCGTAGAACGTGTTTTTTGCCAACACCGAAAGTCGACACAGTAGAATAATAAGAATAACAGATATACCGTTCGTGTGAAAAAAATGTTAGCGAACGCTTGAATGCGCGTCCAAGAATACAATCCACGTCGGAATAGCGAACGAGCGAAAGTCCTCTTCCTTCTCCGTGCAGGTGCTCTCTGGTAGAAACACTCGGTAGTTTCTTATAGAATGATCACAACTGTCTAATCCCGCACGCACTTTCGCACCGCACGTCGCAGCGAACATGTACGGCTCACGCATGTGTAATGACACGATGTGTATTTGATGCACTGTACATTGTAAGTATTCGTGCATTACACGTACCCGATGATACTTAGAATTAATAAAAAAATATTCTTGTAATTGGTTTATCGACACACTACTAAAACATATTTCTCGCTTATTAAAATGTATTCAGGTTGCATTTTCAGCGAGCGAAAAGACGACGATTTTATCGCTATTTATATCTCGAAAAATTTATACATGCATGTATAATAATAATATACATAATAATAACGATACACATGCTTTTTCTTAAGTGGACGATCGCATCCATTTTATTTAAAGGCATAAAACGACTATCTTGGAAACCAACAATGTTTTACGAAGTTTCAAGAGAGAGGAGAAAAAATATTTGCATGAAGCGCACATCTACGATTTCCCATCGAATTTCAAGAGCGATCAAGCGTATCTGAGAGATGTAGATTTGTTTGGATGACTATTCACTGGCATAATGAGATGAGAATAGTGAAAGTTTGTCGTATAGGGTAAATCGTAAATGCTGAAGCTGAATCATGATTGCTGATCCATAGGCAGTGGCCTGCCTTCATGGATCAAGGCAGTCCATACCATATTCTTATTCAACTTACTTCTAATGTTCATATAGTAATCATCCATGCACAGAACAATCATCATTTTTTATGGATGTTTGATTAGTGTATACAAATTTAGTATACTAATCAAAATTGAACTATGAATCGCGTACATTTTTCCTTTGTAAAAGACGACACCTGCCAACAATATATGTGTATACATATGTATATGTATGTATATATACAGGGTGTTTCATTTTAATCGCTCCAGGCAAATATCTCGAAAAATATGAAAGATATGGAAAAACGTTTCAGACAAAAGCTGTTTGGTTCTAAGGGGGACGTAAGATGGTGTCATTGGTTTGACCTTGAGTGAACGTGCCAAAGTCATATGGAATTTAACTTTATTTTTTTAAATGGAATCCCCTATTTTTTATTGCACATTCTTGTAGCTTACCTCGAGAGTTTTTCAAAACACTATAATAAAGTATTTTTTCGTTAAGTATTTTTTGAGTTATTTTATATTTTAATCTGACATATTTTGATATAAAAAATAAAATATCTCGTAAAATATTTAGTTTCCGATAATCTTACCGTAATACTTTTATGTACAGAATAATAACACAAATCAATTTTTTATACTAATTGATTTGTCTCATTATTCTGTACATAAAAATATTACGGTAAGATTATTGAAACCTAATATTTTACGAGATATTTTATTTTTTTATATCAAAATATGTCAGATTAAAATATAAAATAACTCAAAAAGTACTTAACGAAAAGATACTTTATTACAGTGTTTTGAAAAGCTCTCGAAGTAAGCTACAAGAATGTGCAATAAAAAAATAGGGGATTCCATTTAAAAAAATAAAGTTGAACTCCATATGACCTTGGCACGTTCACTCAAGATCAATTCAAATCGAAAAGTCCTGAACCATTTTTTGATCTGAGCTTTCTTTTCGTTGTTATATGATTATCTACAACGGAAAACAGAGAAGGTACGACGGGGGTCGGAGTAGCAAAACGGCTTTCTGGTGTATAGACAGGCGCTGATTAGCTAACTTTAACATCACATAACAACAAAAAGAAAGCTCAGATCAAAAAATGGTTCAGGACTTTTCGATTTGAATTGTTGTTCTGTATCTGATAGTGTTGTCCATATGCGTTTGTTTAGTTACACCCTGTATATATTTTTTCTTTTTTTTTGTTAAATTTAAGAAAAAAACTGCAAATTTCGCTTTTTAAATTCTTTTTTTTTTCAGAAACCGCAAATCACGCTGTTCATTCGCATGTAGTACTCATTTTAGAAAGTGATCGATGCTGCGAAAAAAATTATGATGATAGATGACATGTCATCTTATTTGTGAAGAATGTCCGTGAAATATAAAGATGTTGTGTTGACATATTCGCACGACAAATATATACAGGGTAGGCCATTTTAATGTATCCACTGAAATATCTTAAAATCTATAAGTTTAAGACAAACATGTTTTAGACAAAAGTTGTATGGTTTCGAGGGGGCCATAAAATGATACCATTGGTTTGATCTTGAAGAGTTATTTGAAGATCACATGAAGGTCACATTTAATTTTTTAAATGGAATACTATATTTTTTATTGCATATTCTTGTAGCCCATCTTGAGAGCTTTCCAAAACACTATAATAAAGTATTTTTTCATTAAGTACTTTTTGAGTTATTTTATATTTTAATCTGACATATTTTGATATAAAAAAATAAAATATCTCGTAAAATATTAGGTTTCAATAATCTTACCGTAATATTTTTATGTACAGAATAATGAGACAAATCAATTAGTATAAAAAAATAGTTGTTTTTAAAAAAATTATTTAAAATGTATATATATATTGCTAATAACACTGTTCAACAAAAAATGACTTTTTTTCGAATACCGGAACGGGACTAGTCGTTTCTTATAAGTTTTTGGACGCTGAACATGAATCCAGTTTCGAAATTGCTCATTATGTCAGAATTTTGAGAAATTTGCAATTGAAGTTGCAAAAAAAAGTTATTTTTACGAATTTTGTCATATTAGAGCTACAATATGTGACGTGCTGGAGAAGTTTTATTACAATCAAAATAAAGTATGTTGTTAGGACTTTCAACACTCGAAATAAAGTATGTTGTTAGGACTTTCAACACTCAAAAGGAATTTTTGGTATCGGTTAAGGTTAATAAGATATCCGTGGTTAAATATGGGGTGTATTGCAGAAGTTAGCTGTGACTTAGGTCACTGACGATTTACCAAATAGCTTTCAATTATATTTTTTTTAATTTAAGAGTTTTTTAGATCGCTGAATACGAATTCAATGTCAAAATTGTCAAATTCGAAATGGTGGACTCAAATGTTTAGATCGCAACCTAAACATTTTTTAAATTTTGACATCCGCCATATTGAGTCCACCATTTTGAATTTGACAATTTTGACATTGAATTCGTATTCAGCTATCTAAAAAACTCTTAAGTTTAAATAAATATAATTGAAAGCTATTTGGTAAATCGTCAATGACCTAAAGTCACAGCTAACTTCTGCAATACACCCCATATTTAACCATGGATATCTTATTAACCATAACCGACAAAAAAAATTCCTTTTGAGTGTTGAAAGTGCTAACAACATACTTTATTTTGATTGCAATAAAACTTCTCCAGCACGTCACATATTGTAACTATAATATGACGAAGTTCGTGAAAATAGCCCTTTTTTGCAACTTTAATTGCAAATTTCTCAAAATTCTGACGTGATGGAGCAATTTCGGAACCGGATTCGTGTTCAGCGTCCAAAAACCTATAAGAAATGACTAGTCCCGTTCCGGTGTTCATTTTTTCTTTTTTGTTGAACTGTGTAATCAATATTAACAATGTGCAATTAATATAGT